CACTGCAGGGTGGGGGCAAGCTCCTCACACAGTCCCATGAAAGTGGTGTTTCTCATCTGAAAGTTCTGCAGCCACTGCTCGTCATCCCAGACTTCCATGACGATGTGATCCCAACACTCGGTGCTTGTTTCCCGAGCCCAAAAGCGGCGTTCCACGTTGCTGAGCATGTCCCTGAATGCCACAAGCAATTTCGTGTTGTACGCAGCTCGATAGCATCGTCGGACTCCTCACCCTCACTCTCACTGTCACTTTGGATCTTAAGGAATAGTTCGACAGCCAAGCGTGACGTGCTGGCGAGACTCGTCAGCATACACCTCAGCAGTTCGGACTCCATTTCCCGCAGACAGATCGCGCTGCACAGAAACCATTGAAAGTTGGCGCCAAAGGTGGACAGAAACAAAGGGATTTCTGGGATGCGAAGCGATGCATCACGGGGCATTGGGACAGGACCCAGAATCCCACGCCCCCTTCCCACAACCCACGGCGCCAGAATGGGAAACGGTGCTCTCTGGGATAGCTACCCATAATGCACCGCTCCCAATAGCGCTGCAGTTGCCGCAAACGTGGCCATGACAGTGCACTGGGTAGCTCTCAGTGTGGACAGACTGCAGCACTTTTCCTACTCAGCTGCACGAAGTCAGGTTTAACTCACAGCGCTGTACATCTGCAAGTGTAGCCAAGGCCTTAGAATATCAGGGTTGGAAGGGACCTCAGGAGGTCATCTAGTCCAACTCCCTGCTCAAAGCAGGACCAATTCCCAACTAAATCATCCCAGCCAGGGCTTTGTCAAGCCTAACCTTAAAAACCTCTATAGAATCATAGATACACCAAGATACACATCTTTGTTCCTAATTATATGTCTCTAGGTTCCACCCAGTCTCCCTTATACAAAATACAAGAACCTTCCACAAAGGGAGCCCTAGTCTTATATACCAAATAAGATTAACTAAGGCTTTGTCTACACTACCATTTTTGTCAGTAAAACTTTTGTTGGTCAGGGATGTGAAAAAGCCACATCCTTGACCGACATAAGTGTCACTGGCAAAAGTGCTGCTGTGGACAGCACCCTGTCAGCAGAAGAGGCTCTCCTGCTGACATAGCTAACGCTACTTGTTGGGAGTGGTTTCATGCTGGCAGGAGAGCTCTCTCCTGCTGTCAAAGAGTGGCTACATCTTAAACCATACAGCAGGGCAGTTGTAGCGGTACAGCTGTGCCACTGTAAGGTCCATAGTATAGACATAGCCTAAAAGTGGAGGAAGTGGCGGTCTGCTCAGGCAAGCCATAGGAGATTAACTCCATTAGGAACTTACCTTCCAACAGGAGCCATGTGCTTTGTTTCTCAGGCCAGTTTACCTGCATCTCTTTTTCCCCCACTCCCACCTGTCCTAGCTCCTGCTACAAATAGGGCACATTGACAGTTGGAGAAAGGGGGGGAGTTGTAGCCAAAGATGCTTGAGAAATGAAGTTTCAGTCCTGCTGAAGAGGAAGCTTCTGCATGTAGAGAACCTACTGTGGTTCATGAAAGGTTGGGTACTGCTTGGGCAGACCTCACAAAAGCATTTAGATTTGACTCTTAATGTTCATACTAAACATAGCTTCAGAGAAACTGCAAGAGGATGGAGCTTGACTTTCAGGCCCCTGATACTCACCATCCTTTTTGCCTAGGTCAGTTCCTTGGCCCTGGTGCCTGGCTCCCTGGTTCTTTGGTTTCACTTAGATGCCCTCACTCTGTAGACTGATTTTTTATGTTTATTACATTTAGAAAAAGCCTCTCTAAATGAAGCAAGGGGAGTAGTGGGGCTGGTCATCCAGCCTCAGGATAAGTGAGCAGCAGGGGCTACAGAACCAGTAGGGAGACCCACTACCTAGCTTATATTGACTGTTTAGGTCGATCACCTTTTGTCAAACATGGGGAAAGCAAATACAGATACAAACAAGTATGTCAGCACTCACATGTTAGATATAAAACTGAGTTCTAAATTCCACACTTATAATACAATGTTAAAACAGATTATAAATGGTGTAAATATAATTACGGTATTTATCAACTGTGCTTCGATACCATAACATTTAGCAAACCTCACACTTGGTGAAAACTGTCTTATCTTACTAGCAAGCTAGGCAAATGGTGCAACTGTTCTAATTATTTCCTCATTATCGTTATCCTGCTTCAAGAAAAAATAACCAATGCAACCTCAACTCTCACGCCTTGTCACCTAAACATAATATCCAAATTCACAGACTTTTCTGCTCTGAAGAAACTCCCTTTCAATTCCAACTACCAACAATACAGACATCCAATTCTTCGGATGCACACTTCACAGTAACATTGTTATTTTAATCTTGCTGAAATCAAAAGCCCATGTTTCTAACTTAAAAGTCTGAGATCCAAGTTAAGGTGAAATTGTGAGGAATTGAATATGTGCTTTGTGGGTGGCTGTAACTGGAAATGGAGCGGGTTTAAACTGAGGAGTCTGTATTTGAGGCTGCTCTGGGTATTAATGTTGTCTTAACTGCTGACCTTTTTTTTTTTTCTTTTAATGCAGTGATAGGAAATGCACTAAAGCAAACTTAACTGTAAGTTAAAGATGTCTTGTACATGGATTTGTATACATATTTCCCCCTGCTTATCAGTGGACTTCCGGAATAAGGTTAGAGGCTAAATAATAACACCTCAGACTTGTATGTATCTGTAGCAATTATCTAGTTAATACAAGCTGATTATGTTTCTCAAAAGGAAATAAGTGAAATATAGACCTTTGAGAAACCATAAAGATCTTAGAGAAATTTTTTTCATTTAATGGGTTATTCTTCATAAACATAGTTGTGGGAGTTATGGTTAGGGTATTCTGAAATTTTAAGAGTTTTCTGCTGGAGAACTCTATTACAGTGAACTGAAGTTTTCTTCATTGTGAAATAGTGAGGTAGTGCCCAATCTAAATGATGCATTTTAGAACATGTATTGGAGACAGGAAACAGTTAAATTTTGTGAGGTTTTGGTATCAGCAAATATATTTGATATTGATTTTTCAGTTTTGTTTTCTGACAGTACTTGGGAGCCTCTTTATTTTAGTGCTAAGTTTTTAAGGGCAGTTATTGACTTCCAAATAAAACTGGATGTTTGTTTATGAAAAAATCCAAGGCAGTAAAATTGCACTTCTAATGAGCTGTCACTGTGTACAAGAACCTATGGATTTTTATATTGTTAAGTAACCAATGTTGGCTTATTTTACAGTAGCTGCTAGGCTTGTACATATATGGTGTTCGTTTACTCAGCATTTATTAATTTAACATAGACATTCTGTACATACTTATTTTTGTGGGTTTTAGGGTTTTTTTCCCTCTCCGTGTCAGTACTTTGAAACCCTCATTAGTCCAAATATGGGAAATTTGACTCACTGCAGCTCTTGTATTTTGCAGGATGACTTTCACTTGGTCTATTTAACTTAACTAAGGGATTTAAAAGAAAATGCTTCTCATTTTTCTCAGTGCAGCTCTTGAAAGTTAATATAGTTCCCTCAAATCTGATAACTTTTATGAAGTTTAACATTTTAAATAGGTACTTGAGTCTCTAGCTATGAGTTACATTGCTATATTTCTAAAGTGTGAATTACTGGCAAAAATCCAGTGTGAAAAGCACTAGGTGTAAACTGACTTCCAACTACACTTATTTTAATAACTGGAAAAGAAATATTGCTGATTGCACCTTGGATACTTTTTTAAACAGAATGACAACTGGCATACCTTGTATGACTGAATGTTCAGGGCTTCCTCCTGTTAATGTCACAAATAGTGTCGCTTCTTGGCATTATGCTCATGGCCAAAAGGATCTCCAAATGGAAAACTTTTATTTTTGCTTACTATTCAGTTCCTAAATTGAGACTAGCAAGATGGATGCAACTTTTTTTTAAATTCTCTTCTACTGTCTTGTGAGACAGTGTATTTTCTATCTTGCTATGAACATAGACTCCAAACTTTCCTCATTCCTGAGTTTTGCTTTATTTTTAACTCAAATAACAACCAATTATGAATTTCAGTTTAAGCTTTCTCTCCTGTTTGGTCATTTCTAGGTTTTTCCTAAGACCTCCATCCCAGACCTTGGTTCATTTTTCTCAGTGAGATGCTACAACTCTTCTTGTATCATGGCTGAAACCAGAATGGCTCAACAAAACAGCAGTCCTGTCGCCATCCTGTTAATTTCCTTTGGGTTTAAATAATTTTGAGAGACTTCTTTGTGTTTTCATTGATCCGGTTTTCTTTCAGAGTTTTATCACTGAAAATTTCAGCTCAGAGTCAAGTGGAACACTGCTTGTGCAACAAACTAAGTTGCAGGACAACCTAGAGAAAAGTCTTCACATCTGCACATTCACTAACCACATTAGATATATGTTGGACAAGAAAATGGACATGGGGGAAATATCCAGATAATGCATAATTTAAGTTGTTGCACTATTAGTTTAAAACATTATATATAAACTTAAATGTGTGTGTGTATGTATGTGTATATATATAAAAACTAAAGGGATAAAATCACTGCTCTTTCATTTCTAAGATTTCCGTTCAATTTAATATAATTTCTGAAATTTTAAATTTAAATAAGTTTGGTGTCAGCTGAAATCTGTATTGTAATGTCACAATTTTTAATTTAGATAATACTCTGCTCTCTAAAGAATATTATACTAAATGAGATTAAGCCTAAATTTGTTCTGCCTCTGGAAAAGGATAGTATTTAAAAGTTAGGACAGATTAATTGGCAGAGTGGTGTGGATAAAGTGGATATTCTGTCTTTATTTCTCTCTCCATTGACTAGGAGTATCATTGGATAGGTCTTTGAATGAATGGATTTGTCATCCATAGAAATTTAGTAAATGAAAAGATACTAAAATTAAGGGGGAGAAATCAATGCAGACCCATTTGTTGGTTCTTGCTCTAAGCAGGTTTATTCAATAAACCTTAGATGCAAATTGCTCAAGTGAACTAATGCTCATCTGTTCTCTTAGGGCTGGATCCTGCATTCCTTGGGCAACCAAAATCTCCAAGTAAGTTAATGATTCAAAACATAACTCTGCTATATAGTTTGATTCCGAAATATCTGTAGGGTTATCTAATAGTCTTCCTGGCAGGAAGTATGTTCTGTGAATCTGTTCAGATAGTAATCCTGCAAAGCTACTGTTGAAAGTAATATCAGGAGTAAGAATCCTACCCACCTTGGAAAGCCTCCTGACTTACTCTGTTTGTTACGTCTGTTGATTATCAAGAACCGTTGCAGAGGGGGTTCATTTAGTGACTTTTTGTGGGGTTCTGTGCAAGGGTCTGCGTACTGCTTGTCCTGGCAGGATTAGGGCGTAGTGTGTACAGTTGCCACATTTGTGCAGCACCATGTATGATATTTTATGCAAATTATTTAAATAGGCTAGCTTATGTGTACGGAAATTCACACACAACTATTAAACACCATAAAAATTGTACAAGTTCAGTGCAGGTGAGAGACATGTACTTGAGAGCCCTGATGGATGAAGTTCTCTCTCAATAGAACAACTGCAGCAGAAGCAGGGGCAAGCTTCTTACACACACTGGCTGCCAGCATATCCCAGCACAGATATGTTGGGAGGGGGAGAATTCTTTTAAGAGTAACAGGTAGTTCCAACTCCATGGCCATTTTGAGACTGAGGTAGAATTCCTGAAAGGATGTTTCTTTTAGTACATTTTTACCCTTTGGGGGATTACATAGGCAGGGTCACCAACTCTGCACTCACAGGCAAAATCTCCCACATTGTTTGGAGAACAGCAAGAATAAACTCTATAATTAAATGCTCCATCCTGTTCCTTAGAGATATCTACCGTTATCTAAAATATACAGATACTAAAAAAAAAGAATAAAACAAATACTAGCATAGATCTTAATTCACTCCTAAATGCAATATTTTGCAATATAAAATTACTTCAAAAACTATTTTAGGGTCCTCACACAAACTTATATTTCTCCCTCCCCCTTCCCATATAGGTGATCATCAGGATTTGACCCCACAATATTCAGATCCACAGAGAGACCTCTTCTACATGCTTTATAAGAGGAACTGCCATGGCAAGCATGCTCTTATCATTTAAGTGAAGCAGCCCATAGAAGGAGACATAACATGCTTTGCCAGTTATACAACTGTTTGTGACATTACTCCTGAGGGAATTCTGCACCACTGCGTGTGCGCAGAATTCATGTCCGCTACAGATTTCTTTGCTTCCCCGCAGAAAAATGACTTTGTGACAGGGAAGCTACAAGAGCAGTTACGCACCACTCCCTAGCAGTGCAGGTACATCATTTCAGGCACCTGGAGCAGCCAGCAGAGAGGTTGGGGACACCCAAGCCAGTGGCTCCTATCCTGAGCCGGGATCAGCTGCTAGTCCTGGCTGGGCTGGAGGCAGGAGAGGACAGGCCTTCCTCTTTCCCTGGAAGGAGTGGCTGGGGCTGTGTCAGACCCACCCGCAGAAACCTCCCCAAGCTGCAGGAAGCTCAGTATCCTCCCCTGCTTCCTGCCCCCATCACTCATCAGCTGTGGGGGGGGGGAGGGGTCATTGTATGGGGAGCTGCTCCCCCATCCACCCAGCCCCTGTGCATCTGGATCTTCCATACCCAGACACCCCTTCCAAGCCTTACCCTGTACAACCAGAACCTCCCTAACCCTCCATACCCATACCCCACCCCACCCCACTGAACCTCAACCCCTGCACCTGGAACCCCCACAACTAGCCTCTGTGCATCCAGATCCTCTCCATACCTAGACCCCCCCCACTGAGCTGCCTGGACCCAGATTGTCCCACACAGAACCCCCTCACCCCACACCTGTATCCTCCACACTGAGCCCCTTCACACTTGGATCCTGCCTGGTTGAGCCTGCCTTCCCGACACCTGGTGCAGAGGGGCAGGGCCCCAGGGTATTTCTGGGGCAGGTCCAAGCCTTGTGCTGTGTCAGGGTTGTGTGCAGCCTCGCCGTTGAGTCTGTGTCCCAGGGGTGGGGGGATGGGGGGTGAGGACCTGCAGGGTGATCTTCCACCTTCGTGCAGCCAGTGGCCTGTGCTCCCCACTGCCATGCTGGAGCCTCTGCATTTATTTATTGACAAATAAAACTTGCAGAATTTTTAATTTTTTTGCACAGAATGCCCTCAGGAGTACGACATACAGTGGCATGTTGAGTTATCAGGATTTGGCTTCTGGCTCTGTGATGAGAGTCGGTTCTAGTTGTGAGAGCCAGCATCACCAAGTCTAACAGATCAGTTTGGTCATCTGTAGGAACTGAACCTGGGATCTCTATCACTTGAGTTCCATTCATATCGAGGCAGCAGAAGACTCATAAACTTGTACACATGATCTAGCCTCCAGATAGGGACAAAGAGACCCAGGGTTACAAATACTTCTTCAGAAAGGCAGTGTGAATCAGTGGATGAAATTTAGGTCTGTCATATCAGAGAACTGGGTTCTATTTCTAGCTCTGCTTGTGGTGGCCTTATGAAAACTCTGTTACCTTATTTGTAAAATGGATGAATGATAGTTGCCTCTCTTATGAAAGGGGTGTGAAATCTTGCTCATTATTAGTGGAAGAGATGGCTCTTATATCTCTTGCCTTGTAGTTTGTTGTACATTGCTCTAGGCTACAAAGTATTGGGAGGGATGGTCTATCCCCCCCCCCGCCACCAGTGTGTGACATTTTACTCTTTCTGCCTGGTGCATGATAGACCTCAGTGCAAAAATGCATGACACTTGGCAGGTCTGTTAGTGCTGTAAGCAACATAACTTCTGTTAGACTGACAGTCTGAGGTAAGGGATGGGAGGGGAGGTGAAATATGGTATGGACAAATCATCTTCAACGTGCACTGTTGGAAGGAAAGGAATTAATCACCTAATTTTTGAAAACCACATACAAAATCTTTGTGAAAATGCCTCTTTTTCCCATTATTAGCATTTGGAGGAAAATATACTCTGCCATTAAAGCTCTGGCCTAGGGAAATAATAGAATTTTACCACGAGTCCTAAACATTAATGACTGATAATATTGGTGGTGAAGCACCCTGCTGAAGTTGGACAGATTTCAGATCACAGTATTAAAAAAAATTCCAATCGTATTGTTTTGACACATACATTTAAAGAAAATAAATCTATAGTTTTTCAGCCTGCTAGTTTGTAAAGGCACAGTGTTTTCAGTTAAATGTAACATGATTTTTTTTTTTAATTTTATTTTAAAGACTTATTTTGCTGAGGGTCCAGTTTGTTCTCTTGTTCAGGAATGTCAGAGTCTAATGTTCTGTTTTGTATAAAACAAGCTGAATTTGTTGTTTCTACATGAAGTTTTTTTACTTTATAGGAAACTAATGATTGATTGTGGTCATAGTGAAGATTCTAATATCTACAAACAATTTAAATGTTTAGATGTTTTAAATTTTATTTTGTAATTCATGTACAAAAAATATTGTAACAATTTTCTCCCTAAAATATCCCACTAGCTGGGATTGATTTTTTTTTTCTCTTTCCCCACAAGATGGACTTTTTGTTTTGTTTTTCTTTTTACTGTGTTTTGCATTTACTTAAAATTTTAAAAGAATTTGTATGGTCAGGTGTTCTTTGCTTCCTGAGGCACTATATCAGCTACTTCCAAAACTGCCATCATATGCTATCTTGCTCTTCTCCCGCTGCCACCTTTTGTTTAAAACCAAATAAAGGGCCCAGTCCTGAATTGCATGTGCACTCAAAATTCCCACTAATGTTTTGGGTGCATAAGGATAGTAGGATCAGGCCATAAAATGTTAAATGGTGATAAAGTGAAAATATCCTTTGAGATAACAACTTCATCTTGCCAGGAGTGATGGATGATAATGTAAAATAGCATTAGGTTTATGTGGAGTGTATATTCTTAATTTTATGGAAAAAGTGAACATGTAGACTTTATGCCTGGGCTAGTACGTTTTTATGGAGATTTAGCAAAGTTGCCTTAGGGCATGTCTACACTACAGCAGCACACTATGACGCTGCAGTGCCACAGTGTAGACACTTCCTACATCGACTAAGGTTTTTTCCATCAGTGTAGTTCATCTGTCTCTCTGAGAAGCAGAAGATAGGTCAATGGAAGAATTCTTCTGTCAACCTAACAGCTTCTATATCAGGGGTTAGGTGGATCTAACTGTTGCATTCAGGATGTGAAATTTTTCACAGCTCTGAGTGACATAGCATTTAAGTGTAGACCAGACCTTTACAGTCTTGGTTAAATGTTTGATGAGTCTTCACTGCCCCCAAGGTGACAGTTTGACTTCATCTCACAGTTTGTGCTGCTCCGTAGAGAATTTACTGGTTGTTGTTACAAGCCACATTGGCATCTTCAGGAAGAAGCTTTTTTAACTGAAATTAGTTAGAAGAGGTTTTTACTTAGTATTGCTATAACAAGGTGACAGCCTTTTTTGATTATATAGTTTAACAGCTCAGGTTAAATCCATCTCATAAAGGAAAACCACTAACATAGTTTGTATCAGAAGTTCTGAAAAGTAAATAAAAATATCAGTATGGATGAATTTTTTTTTAGGAAAAAAGTGAGATGTGTACACTAGTTTTATGATTGTTTGGATATATGAGTAATTTCTACAAGTATTAAAATATTTATTCCAACTTTCAGAGTATCTTCTTTTATTTTTAGATGAATCTGCGTTCTGTATTTACTGTAGAACAACAAAGGATATTACAGCGTTATTATGAAAATGGAATGACAAATCAAAGTAAAAATTGCTTTCAGCTCATATTACAGTGTGCACAAGAAACTAAGCTGGACTTCAGTGTAGTCAGGGTAAGTACTGAGGCCTTCCACACTTGAATTTACATAATTATTTAACAAGTACATTTGTTTACATAAAATATCTGTAGAGGATGGAATCATTAACTTTATTTTTTTTTAAAAAGGCTTCCATCCTCAGCTGTAATATATGCTCATTTTTTCCTGAGAGAGGGCTGCTTGTAGTCCGAGTTCCTATGAACACTTTTACGTTATTGAAGTATTAGTAGGGACTTTCATGCTGTGCAAGCAGCAGGGATCCCTTCAAGAAAGTTAAATTCCAAATAAGGTTTTCCTGCTGAAAACCTAGGTTATATATCACATAAAGTGAATGTTGTTTATATCAGGAAACCACTTTGAAATAGAATAGAAATTTTGTATCCTTTAAAAATGACATTGAAAGAGATCTATAAAACTGCTGTCCTTCCAGGTTTGTGTTCCTTGTCATAAATAGATGGCATTGCTGCTTATTGGTATCACAGTTATCACTAAACAATAATATCATTGAGTAGCTTAGTGCTTCTGGGGTCTCTTCTGAAGACACTGAATTCCAAGGGAGCGGGATAATGCTCCCCCTATGAAAGAAGAGCCATTTTGTTATATAATGTTTCACAAGGAAGTAGAAATCATGAAGCAATAGTTGAGAGTTGATACAATAATCAAGCAGGCAGGAGCAGATACAAGCAGCTGCAGTGGGTACATCTACAACACTGTGTGGGAGGGAGGAAGGAGATAAGACCCATTTAGTTACTCCCAACCACGTGGACCCAGAACCATGTAGGGGAGCGCTCCTTCCTTCCCATCGCGCCCCATCCCCCCTTCCAGGGGCACCAGCTTCTAAGTATCCTTGCCTCTCTAGAGAAACCTGAGCTCAGGATAGAGAAAGAAAAAAAAAACCCTAGGAAGCCCACCAGAAACTCAGACTGGCAGGAGCAGACAAATAGCTGCAGTACGGAACTTTGGATGCTTTCAATAGTTTTTGTTCTGGACATTCTCTCCCCCTGTGCTGACTGGCTGTTTGCTTCAAGTCCCTCACAGTCTCTTTGCCTCACTCTACCTGTAGTACTTACTCCCTGCCTTCCATCCCTCTTCTTTCTTCTCCAGTCCCCTTTACTCTGTTCCCTGCAGCTCCATTCTTCCTTCAGTTTTCTGTCTGTTTAGCCATCGCCTTCCTGACAAAAGCATTTCCACAAAAATTCTGGTAGTAACATGCCATTTGCAGACCAACATGCCTCTTGCTCTGCTGGCATTTTGTAATCCCCACCCCTCCTTGTCTAACTTGTCTGTTTAGATTGTAGAAGCAGAGACTATCTCTTACTGTGTACAGTGCCTAGCACAGTGGGACCTAGATCTCAGTTGGGATGCATAGATGCTAACACAGTACTAGGAAAAAAATAATAATGTAAAAGTCATACAGAAAATACAATTGTGTCTCTGATGTTAATCTCTGTATTGAGTCTTGATTAGTTTTATGTGTTAGTATATTGCCATCTTGACAAATTCTTGAATTGGCTTGGGGATAAGGTAAAGACTTATTCTGAGATTCTCTTTAATGACTTCTTTTGAGTCATGATACCATTTTAAAAACAAGCACAAGCTTTATCACAAAAAGTAGATGATGCAATATATTGTTTCTTTCCAAATTAGGACCTGTACAGCCGGTCCTGGAAAGAAAGAGAATTTTTTTCTTTGTTGAGATACTTAAGCATTCAAACCAAAATGGATTTGGACATTCCCAACATAGAAATTTCAGAAATAAGCTATTTCTTTAATAGTTAACATAACTGTAGTTGTAAAGTATTTTACCAAAGCAGTTTTACTTCAGTTTCTTGTATATGTTTTAAAATAACTGTTTGATTTGACAATTGAGTATTAATTTTGCTGAATGATGAGGTGATTTTTCTATTGGTTCCAAGCTGTTTTTTTTTATATATTTTACAGTTTTTCTTTTGATATAATTTCAATTTGAGAAGATATTATCTGAGTAGTAGTAAAACAAATAGTACCACAGGATGCAATAAGTTTTCAGATACCCATTTCAAATTAACGTCTGTGATTGTGAGCCAATTGGGAGAGAGATTAATTTGCTTTTTCCTGAAACTTGTGGCTAGAGATGTTTGGGTTGTAGGCTGCTTGTTTCTGTTTTTTCCTCTTAAGAAGAGAGCAGAACTAAAAACATTATGCGAGGAAGCTAAGCCCTTGCTAATCCAAGCACTTATATATGTAACTATTAAAGTCAATGAGATGATTTGCATGCTTAATCATGTGCTTAACTTAAGTGCTTTGCTGGATCGGGGGCTACATATCATTACAATTGTTAAATTTATGTTTTTATACTGATCACTAGAACTTGTAAAATGAGACGTCATCATTGGTATCATTCTGTATTTTGCATGATACATGCTAGTAGATGGATGGTAATGCAGAAAACTGCTCTCTTCTGTTAACATGAGCATCAGACTACTTTTGTATTGGGGTGAGATTTCCAGTGAATTTCCATAGATATGAGGTTCAAATATTAAAAAGCCATAAACAACTATGTGGGTGTATCAGAATGTAAGGTGTGGTTGGCTGCCTTTTTATTTTTATTTTTAAATACTTGTATAAAATCCAAAGCACAGAATAAAACCTCCCTTTTGTTCTGTGTAAAACTGATCACTTGGTTTTGTTAAATTTTCAGCTCTTGTTTGAGTTAACTGGTCACCATTTTGCTTCACACCAAAGATTAGTGAAGTGGCACCGCAAAAAAAATTGCACTATGTGCTCTATGTACACATTTACAGTCTGATCCTGCATCCATAGATGTCTAAGGAGTTTTGTCACTAACTTGAATGTGAGCAGAAGGAAGCCCTTATTTTCTGGTGGTTCCTTATATCCATAACTCTCCTCTTTATACTGGAGCATATAAATTAGCAGAAATCTGAAGTCCAACTTAGAGCTTGTGTACACTTAAAATGCTAGTGGTACATAGGATGACCAGACAGCAAGTGTGAAAAATCGGGACAGAAGGTGGGGAGTGATAGATGCCTATATAAGTAAAAGCCCCCAATGCCCCTCTGCCATGTACATTGGCCAAACCGGACAGTCTCTACGCAAAAGAATAAAAATCGGGACATCTGGTTACCCTAGTGCTACAGCTGGACCACTGCAGCTGTGCCACTGTAGTGCTTCAGTCTTGATGCAACTTACATAGTGGGAGGGGTTCTCCCATTGGCTCCGTCAATGGAAGAATTCCTCTGTCAGCCTGCCGCTGTCTACATGGGGACTTAGGGTGGCTTAACGCCGCTGCTCAGGGGTGTGGATTTTTTTTAGCCTGACCAACATAGTTAAGCCAACCTGATTTTTCTAGTGTAGACGAGGCATCAATAGACAGGAGACAGGATGGGTGAGGTAGTATCTTTGATTGGATCAACTTCTTTTGGTGAGAGAGATAAGCTTTTGAGCTACACAGAGCTCTTCTTCAGGTCCGGGAAAGGTACAAAAATGTCACAGCTAAAGAGAAGGTGGAACAGGTTGTTTTGCATAAGTAGTTAACATATTGTAAGCGACCATTCAATGTGGAGTGGACAGTTAACACCGCTGCAGTCATAGGACAAAAAAAGGAGGATTAGTGGGTTACAGACTGTTGTAATAAGGATAAGGCATAATCCAGTGTCTTTATTAAAACCGTGATTTTTAGGGTCTCGCAAAGTTATAAATTTAAGCATCTTTTAAATGTGTTGTGCGAGGATGAGGCCTGAGAGGTCAGATATGGAGTGGTCTGAAAATTGTGATATTGTGTCTTTGTCTTTTATAATTTTTCTGTGTGAGTTCATTCAAGAGCATAGTGATTGTCTGGTTTCACCCACATACTTGTTATTGGGGCACATGTTGTGATAGGCATGTTCAGCACCTTTGTCTACATTTTAATTTAAGCCTGGGAGTTTGAATTCATAACTTTGCTAGACAGTAAAAATCATGGTCTTAATAAAGATACTGGATTTATGGCTTATTACTACAATCTGTAACCTATTAAACACCTTATTTTTTATATATATATATATATATTTTGGTTCTATGACTGCAGAGGCGTTAAGTGGCCACTTCACCTTAAATGGTCTCTTACAATACATGATAACTACTTATGTTAAACAATCTGTTTCACCTTCTGTTTAGCTGTGACTCTGAGTACCTTTCCCAGACCTGAAGAGCTCTGGGTTAGTCTACCCTGGCAATGCTCCCAGTGCTCTAAAAATCCACCTCCACGAAGGGAGCAGCTCGCAGCGCTGGTGTGCTGTCTACGCTGGCGCTTTACAGTGCTGAAACTTGCTGCTCTCAACGGTGTGTTTTTTCACATCCCTGAGTGAGAAAGTTGCAGCGCTGTAAATTGCCAGTGTAGCACAGAAGTTGATCCAATAAAAGATATTCTCTCACCCATCCTGACACCAACATGGCTACAACAACACTGCAGTCAACTTAATACGAAACTCTTATGAGTGTATAAATTAATCCCACCTCTTTCATGGTAAAGGTTGTTTGTGTAGTACTGATATTGTAACATCATACATGCTGTCATAGACGCCAACTTTCTAATGTGTTGGGGGGTGCTCCCCTCCCACCTCGCCCATACTCCACGCCTTTCCACAAGGCCCCACCGCCACCTTGTCTCTTCCTGCCCCTCCCCCGCTCCTCCTCCCTCCCTCCCTCACAGTGTCTCCTGCACGCTGCGGATCAGCTGTTCTATAGTGGGCGGGAGGTGCTGATTGACGGGAGGCACTGGGGGGAGGAGGAGGCTCTGATAGAGGGACTGCCCCCACCATTTTTTTTTCCGTGGGTGCTTCAGCCCAGGAGTACTTACAGAGCCGGCACCTACACCTGCTGCTTCTAATAAGCAGTGCCCCTCTGCCATGTACATTGGCCAAACCGGACAGTCTCTACGCAAAAGAATAAATGGACACAAATCTGACATCAGGAATCATAACATTCAAAAATCAGTAGGAGAACACTTCAACCTCTCTGGCCATTCAGTAACAGATTTAAAGGTGGTAATTTTGCAACAGAAAAGCTTCAAAAACATCCTCCAACCAGAAACTGCTGAACTTGAATTAATATGCAAACTAGATACTAAGGCTTAAATAGAGACTGGGAATGGCTGAGCCATTACACATATTGAATCTATTTCCCCATGTTAAGTATCCTCACACCTTCTTGTCAAACTGTCTTAAATGGGCTATCTTGATTATCACTACAAAAGTGTTTTTTCTCCTGCTCATTTTAATTAATTAGCTTCTTAGAGTTGGTAGGGGAACTCCCACCTTTTCATGTTCTCTGTATGTATATATATCTCCTCACTATATGTTCCATTCTATGCATCCGATGAAGTGGGCTGTAGCCCATGAAAGCTTATGCTTAAATAAATTTGTTAGTCTCTAAGGTGCCACAAGTACTCCTGTTCTTTTAGCAACACTCTGTTGAAATGCTGAAGTTAGTGTTCCCCACTACCTTTCTTAAATATATTTTTTATTCATTAGCTTCAGAGCAAGTTTTCCTACTTGATGTATTTTGTTTGAAACCAGTAATGGGTTTTTTGGAACTTAAGTACAAAATCACTAAAGATCTCTAGATTGTTCTCTTCAAAAGAGACTTTTGCATAAAACAGCCTCCACTGTTTTAAATATCTTGTATATAATTCCATATATTTTCACTTGCCAGTGTAGCATCTGTAATGGGAAATTATTCTGTCTGTTGAACCTAATCCCCTTAGTCTGTATTATATTTGTGAAATCAGATCAATTTCTCACTAAAAGCAGCTCTTGAGGGATATGATTTAAAAAGTTAAATTAAAAAGACAAACATTTTTACAATTCTTTTTTGACCAATCTTCAGTTAATTCCCTTTCTATTGGAAAACTTTCCCCCTGTCTTGGGATGCATTGGTACTTTGAGGACTACACTTGTATTTTTTTTTTATTAAATTAAAAAATAAGAGAAGATAGAAGTGTTTGTAGTATGGCAATTTTGAAAACATCTCCTCAGCTATTGGATAGTAAAGATACTGATTATGCCGAATCTCTCAGTATAGTTACTGGTTTCAGGAGTACCTTATTTTCACTAGATGTAAAAGTTGAAATTGGGAAGGGGAAGGAATTAAACACCTAGTGTATCTTTGTTTGGTTTTCTTCACAATAATAAATGAAAGGTAAAACCAAGTCCAAGTATGTGGAGGAGAAAACCACAAGCTTCTGCCATATTTATGCAAAGATAATTTTGGGACAAGAGGGTAGATGCAACAAGTTGTATATTCTTTTCTGAGGTGGGCCAGAATTGGAAATCTTCACTCTACTGAACTGAAGGCATTTGGATAAAATGGGACCTGGATCCGCATCATTTGTGGTTTTGATTTTTGCATAATCAAGACATGTCTCTTTCCCCTCCTCCCTCCCCCCTACAACTAATTTTGATTGCTACTCATTTCTAATATATTAGTAATTTAAATCTTAATTGTAAAGACTTATATACATGCTGAAGTCTTTGCAATATTGAGGCTTTGAATATTAAAAAAACTGACTGTGGCTAACATTCTTATATATTAATATTTTGTATTTGCAGACTTGGGTTGGCAATAAAAGAAGAAAGATGAGCAGCAAGAATGTTGCAGAATCTGGAGGCACCCCACCCAGAACTGTTCCTAGCACCCCTACAGTGCCTCCAGAAGTAGCAGTCAGAAATGTGGTAAACATTGCTCGATCCCAAAGCCAGCAGTCTTCTTGGACATCATCTAACAATGATGTAATAGTAACTGGTATATATAGCCCAGCTAGTTCATCCAGCAGGCAGGGATCCACGAAACAGACTAATGCTTCAATGACTGAGATACATAAAAACTCTATTCAGAGACCACCTGGAAAAAGTGATACAGAATTTCAGCAGCAGCATATCCCTATAGGACGACAAGCACCACATTGTAAAGGTGCTTCGTTGCTCCTGGGGGAAAAAACTATTATTTTGTCAAGACAAACAAGTGTGTTGAATTCTGCAAACTCCATATACAATCATACTAAGAAAAATTATGGTGGTTCATCAGTCCAGACTGCAGAGTTAGTGTTACCTCAAAAGCCAATAATATGCCACAGGCCATGTAAAGCTGAACCAGTGGGGTGTCAGAGGTTACACAAACCAGAACACACAAGCCTTGCATCACACATCCCATCTGGACAAAGAGCTAATGTTCGAGACCCTTCTTGTAGCACACAAAACTTGGAAATTCGTGAAGTTTTTTCCTTGGCAGTTACTGATCAACCTCAAAGAATTATGGGAGGAAATACAACACAGAAGCCTTGTTCAGTCGAAGGCAGTTGCCTGTCCATTGCAATGGAAACAGGAGATGCTGATGACGAATATGCTAGAGAGGAAGAGCTTGCATCTATGGGAGCACAAATACAAAGTTATTCAAGATTTTGTGAAAATAGCAGTTCCCTTCGAGTGGAGAACCAAAGCACAGCTTTGTCTGGACCAGGCAGAAATGTGAGCTGCAGTTCACAGATGGTGAATGCCAGGGACTTGCCTGACAATGTATTATATCATAACAGAGACTACCGCTTGCCTCCACGGACCTCATTACATACACCATCCAGTACACTGTATAGTAGTGCTAATCCATCAAGAAGTAACTTTTCTCCTCATTTTACATCTTCAAATCAACTGAGGCTGTCGCAAAACCAAAACAACTACCAGGTAATCTGTAAATTTATTTTTGCCTTTCAGATTTTCAAGACAGTCTTCTTCTGTGAAAGCTGAGAATGTAGACTAATATATCCTGATCCACTGATGAAAGTTTACCCTGTTCCTTGGCACTGTTTCAGGTTTTCTCCTACATGCTATGAGCTGAGTTTGGCATATAGGGCAAATCATATCAGTCACTCCCTCCTTTTTGAGTGTACCCATCCCCTCTCCTTGAAATGAAAGTTTTGGATTCATTGTTAGAAATGGTAAGCATCAGTTCTTCCTCCTTCCCCCCCTCACCAGGCTACCATCTACTCTTTTGCTTCCTGTTTTTTTGATGGGGATTGGGATCTCCTTCCAACTAGTCAGGGTGTTGGCAGACACCAGTTGCAAAGGTGTGAGTCCTTCACCCTTGCAGTTTAGTTTGCACCATTTGTGTTACAGGAGATGTAATGAGGGCATCTCTAGGACCTGGGTTGCATCTCATGCCCATAAAATATGCTTACAGGGGTAAAGAGAGAAGAGAAATGTGAGTGCAGGTTACTGGGGGGCAGAAGAAAGACCTGTGTCCAACAGTGGCTGGAGCATTGCAAACCATTGTGGATCCATTTGTTGGAGGAAGAGAAAATGCAGGAAGCATCAGAGTTGGTTTGAAAGTGGCAGAACGCTGTGTTTTCCAGCATAGCGCAGAGCCTGGAGCCTGAGTTAAGGTGCTCTTGATGATCATGATGAGGAGATAGCTTTGAGTATTGTCTCCTGACATGACATTGGTTGCTGTTCCTCTTTCAGAGGAACTGTAGTCTCCTAATGGTAAAGCTGAGGCATCCCAGAAGTTCAACACCTTCTTCTAAATACTTTTCTCACTACTGTAGTTTGTTAACTCTTCAAATAAATGACACTTTTCATCATAAGATACTACCAGGAATGTCACAGTTCTGTGGCAGTCGCAAGTTTTGAAGGCCCATTATGTGCTAGCATAGACCCTATCCATAGTTTTTGTGACCTTTACGAATAGGAATTGCAAATCCTCCCAAGCAATCTCCTTGCCATTTTGGGTGCATGTGGTATGCTTATTTATCCTTTCTCTCCCTTAATGGATAGAGCAGGGGTCGGCAACGTTTGGCACGCGGCTCGCCAAGGTAAACACACTGGCGGGCCGGGCCAGTTTTATTACCTGCTGACGCGGCAGGTTCGGCCGATCGCGGCTCCCCACTGGCCGCGGTTCACCATCCCGGGCCCATGGGGGCAGCGAGAAGCGGCGCGGGCGAGCGATGTGCTGGCCGCGGCCAGTGGGGGGCCGCGATCGGCCGAACCTGCCGCGTCAGCAG